TCTCAGAGGCGTCTCCACCTTCAATTGGTCACCCCAAGTGTCAGTATCCAAACCTGACCCCTGACTGGACTGACCCCTTCCTTCCAAGAAAATTCTTTTCCCGTGTCAAACCACAACAGCTGGACAGAAATGTATCCTCCCAGTCATGAAATTCATCAGACATACTTTTTTTTTTTTAGTGAATAAGGTCATTTTCAAATAGGACCAAGTCCAAAAGCACTGGTTGGCTCTTAATGAATTTTACAATGAAGATGAAATGCCAGACGTCTTTGGCTGCAGATGTAGCTTAGATTACTGCTGTGTGCACAGTCACTTGGGTAACATCGGTACAATGCTGCAACATAAAAAACTACCATATAGTAATTTGTATACGTTGTCTGGAGTCAAAATAAGGTTGGTACTAACTTTGGAAGAGGCTAGTACACCTTCAGAGGTCAATACCTTGCCATGACAAACAAATGGGAAGACAGATGGCTCCTGTGATGACTTTAAAAATACCATTCAACATTATGGTGTATTATTATGATTCTCTGCCCTTCTTGCAAAGATCAGACTGTCTCTCAGCATAATAAGTATACAACTAAGGGTGTTTTGAAGGCCACTTCTCATCTAAAAAGAACTCACAATTTATGAATTCAAGGTAATGCTATGAATTTTTATGAATAAAACTAGAAACTAATGCACATCTTTGTTTTTCTCTAGTTTACCTTCATTACTTTAGAGAGATTTTATCTATTTTAATTTCACATGCCCAATTTATTGTTTTTTTGTAAATCAATATTTTCTTGTCTTTGGTAATGTGTCAAATATTAAAGTTTAATTAATGTAAAAATAAGCAAAATGTATGTACAACCTAATATTGTGATCTCAAATTTGTCAGATACACTAAAGAACTATGAAAAAAGAACAAATCTGTTGGACAAAAAGTTCTAGCAGGAAAATATTTAATGCTAATTAAGGAATTTAATGTTGAGAATTGTAAGGCCTTTGGTTTCATTATTATTTCATAGACAATTTTAACTTGAACTGATAGCATATTAGACATTATTGATTGGGTAAATGCAACTGAATATACATTAATGTCTGTGTCACTCATCATAACAGTCTTATGAGTCTACAAAGTTTAGATTCTTACTCTGCAGGCAACATTATTTCAGTTGTTGCCACTTAGATTATGTAATCAGAAAGTTCCATATTTACTCTGATTTAAAACAAGTATTAAGTGTACTAACATAGCACTATTTTAAATGAAGTAATATTTTATCATATAATATCTGTATATTTAGTACTCATTTTCCCAGTGTTCATGGTTTTTTGTGATACTCAAGACCCTGTAATATATTGAAATAACTCCTAGTGTAATGTAACAGCAGAATATTTAGTATTTTATTTAATCATATCATAATGAATTGCCTCTGAAACATTTGGTTTCATCTTTCAGCAGGACATCACCCTGTGCTTCAACAGAAATAATCATGCTTTAGATAGGTGAATCAACCAGAAAGTTTTCATTATTTTGTAGCTGAGAAATTGGAAATAGGAGGAAATCTATGTTCAGTATAGTAATTTACATATACGGATAGGTAGATCAAGAGGATTCAGGACAGAAAGATGCTGTAGACTTTCTAAATGTACTGAACCACAAGATTGATGTGAAATGGTCTATTTGTCAAGTGGAAGATGAAGCGGCTGGAGATCTGTTCTGTCTGATACCACCTGCCAACTGCCTCAAGGTTTGTTACAGGGAAGAGGAACTGAAAGCACACAACAAATCACAGAAAAAGGCTCTTTCCCGTAGCATTTGTATTTGATGCATTTCAAGTATTGTGACAGATATTTTTCAAGAGCCCTGGTACAGGGTGACAATGGGATGTTTGATAATCTCCCTATATTGAACAGAAAACATCTGGATGCAGCAGCATATGGACTGCAGCTTCAGTGAAATAATTTAATGGATGCTCCCCACAATTAGGTCCATATGTGCATGGTTCCCTTTAATTTTATTCTCGAGTATGGCAAAGAGATGTCATCATTTTCTCTTTTTTTGATGTATCTGCATTCTTGCAGCTATCTACATGCTTATGATATTGAGATACTTCAAATTCCCAAAATATTTAGAAATCACTTGCAGCAACATTTGACAGAAGTCGAAAATTTCTGCATAAAAATTTTTTAAGATCACAAATTTGATTCCTGTTCTGAATCTAAAAAAAGGTTTGAACAAAAATGTGATCTAGTACTCCGACATGAAGTGATTCAGAATTAAGCAGAGAAGACTTGCAGTAAAGAAAAAAAATGTTGGTTGTTTGTTCATTGGTTGTTGGTTTGTAGGGTTTTATTCACTAAGAATATAAGATACACTACATATGAAGTATGAAGCAAATACATGAAAACAAGGTACTTATGTGAGATTTGAATGTATTAATAGTTCACTCAAAATTATTAGAGTTTTGGCAGACCACTTACCTCTCACCCTGCAGGTTTACATCAGTTGCTACATAAAACAAAAAACAAATTCAGGCAACAATGTCATGTGCCAATTTTGGGGGTTATGATATGTCTTTTGCTGTGTTTTTCATGTTCATGTGTGGGGAAAGATAAAAAAATTTTGAGAACAGGAAGAATGATATACAGTTTTTTGATTTTCATATTAGCTGGAAAGAACTTGAAACCTGTGGAAAAACTATTTTTTGCTCTAAGAAAAGGAGCAGGAGCAAATCAAAGCAGGAAGTCAGTCAAGCACAAAGATAAGGCACCTGCTGTGGCTTTGGAGAATTATAACCTTCCTACGTCACACACACTCCTAGCAGCCAGGACCTCAAACGTCTCATGGAAGGTCAAGATTCAGAATTTGACAGGTGGAAGATGCCTATATCCAATCTGATTTTCTGAGGAAGCCTCCAATCTGAGTAACTGGTATTGGGGGGGGAAGGGAAGGGAAGGGAAGGGAAGGGAAGGGAAGGGAAGGGAAGGGAAGGGA